GATGCTGCTGCCAGGCCGGGGCGCTCCGCCGCCGGGCAAGGGGGAGAAGGGCCCCTGCGCGCCGGGAAACACGACCTGCCCCTTCTGCTGAAGCCTGCGGGAACCTCGGCGCTGACTTACATGGTAGCAAGGGTCCGATCCAAAATGTTATCTTACCCTTGATCGGCTATCGCAAGTCAAACTCTCCCCTTTTTACGCTGTATATATATATATATATGTATATACACATATATATACACACACAGATATATACATACATATACATATATATACGTATATAAATGTGTGGCGCAGCTATTTGAACAGTACTGGAAATTTAAATTCGCCAATCCACGCTCCACCTAGAAACGTTTAGCAGATTTGAACGGCAAGCAATTCCGCTTGAAAGGATAATCTTCAAAAGCTAGCTCCAGTTAAAAGTCGCCTTTAAAAGAGAGCTGTTATTTTACTGAAGTCGGCCATATTCGCGTTGCAGGTTTCTCTCAAGGCGCCCCTCAGTTTTATCGTTCTGGGGCACGGTGTGAAAATAGAAGATACTTCTTACGACGCATTAAAACAGTCATCACCGACTGCCACTAACGAAAGGCAACTCGAATCGTGCAGATCACCCATACCTCTGACCTGAAATACATGTAATTTGCGACGTGTCTCATACAATAATTTTCCAGGTTGCAAAATATAACGGAATACATAGAAATGTTCACCCGGAGCCGGAACAAGTGTAATTCGCAAGTGGCTTTGTCCAGGCAAATTAGCTGCTTTAGGAGAAGGCGCTATGATGAAATGGAGAAAACGCGATTGTCCCGCCTCTGTCAGAGAGGCAGACCGCTAGGGAGCTGCCTGCGGGCAGCAGGTATGGTCAGGGCAGCCGAGGGGCTGAGGCCGCAGTCCTCAGGGCTGAAGCTGCGGCCGGCGAGCTCGCCCCCTTCCCCTCGGGATGATGCTCTCAGGAGGAGCGACCGTCTGTGGCTCCACACAGCCCCAGCGTTGGATTTTGCTGCCCCGTTGAAAATGCCCCAAAAGCCGGGGCAGGCCGCGGAGGGACCCGGGGAAGCG